TTATGTAAATGAGGTGGCAAGGCAGATGTTTTTCTTCCTGGTGCATTCACTGGGGATTAATACATACAAAAGCTGAGAAGGAGGGGCTGGTGTGTAACCTGGGAACTCAAATAAGGGTTGAGCAAGAGGAAAGATGATTACTCTTGAGCTGTGCTGTTCAATAGTGGAGCCAATAACCACACAAGGCAATTTAAATTTAAATCGATTAAAATGAAATAAAATTAAGATTTAGTTTCTCAGTCATATTTGCCAATTCATTTGTTAAATAGCCATATATGGCTGGTGGCTACTTATTGAAGAGCTCAGATAAGACCATTTCTATCATTGTAGAAAGTTCTACTGGACAGGGGTGCTAAACCTAGAAGGATTGAAACAAGGGGAAGGATGCTTGTAGATTCCTCTACAATTGGAACTTTACCCATAAGAGTTCCACAAGCTTCTCAGAATGGATGTAAATCCACGAAGAGCCAAGAGATGTAACAGGTAGGATTAAGTGGCTGTTATTTTTTTTGTATATTATGGGGATACACTACAGCTGTGCTTCTCAAACTTTAAATGTATATACATATCACATGGGGATCCTAATGTGCAGACACTGATTCAGTAGGTCTGGGGTGGGGCCTGAGAGTCAGCATTCATAAACAGCTCCTAGGTGATAGTGATAAGCACCCAGGTGATGGTCTGTGAATTGCACTTTGGGTAGCAACGTGCTAAAGCCCTTAACAGCAGAGACTTGATTTACAGCAACATCCCTGAAGATGGTTAACCAATCTGACACAGGAATCTTTAATCACTGCAGGCTGGTGCCAGGGTACATCTCATAGCCACTTAAAATTGAATCATTTCACATCAAAGTCCTGCTGGAGAAAGCAGAAGCTGCTGTCATGTTACCAAGAAGGAAAAATGGCTCATCGGAAAATACTGAATACACTAATTTGAATCTATGACAATTGGGATAGTACTCTACCTTTCTATGTCTCCATTTTTGCAGATTAAGAACTTTTTTTAAAAAAAAACTAGCATAGAAGAAACTGCTGCTCCATGGAAACACTGATTTGCATACATAAAAATTCAGTCTGTAGACATCCTTCTCAACCTTGTCTGCACAATTGGAATAACCGGGGGGAACTTTTAAACATTAACATGTTAGATTTCACCCTCAGATATTTTAATTTAATTGATTGTGGGGGAGGAAATCTGTTTTTTGAACACTCCCCAGGTGATTCTCACATGCAGTTGCAGAGAATCTTTGATCATAACAGTGGATCTGAAACTTAAGCATGCATCAAAATCATGCCTTGTGAAAACATGGATTGCTGGATCTCACCTCTAGAGTTTCTGATTTGGTAAATCTGGGATGGACATTAGAGTGTGCATTTTCAGCAAATTCCCAGGTGCTACTGCTGCTGGTTTGGGGCTCACACTTGGAGAGTCACTCACTGACTTAAAGCACTGTTTCTCAATCTTGGCTACACATTGTAATCACCTGGAGAGGTTTAAAAACTACTTGTGCTTAGATCCCACCCCAAATATTCTGATTTAATTTTTCTGGGGCCTAGTAGTCTGGGCATTGAAGATTTTTAAAAGTTTCCCACATGATTAAAACTTGAGAAACATTAATGGTAATAAAGCAAACCCATTAGGTCTGGGGACTAGAAGCACTGACTTTACCTGGATGTTTGTTAGAAATTTAGAGTCTCAGAGCCAAACCCAGACCTGCTGAATCATAACCTGCATTTTGACAACATTTTCCGGGTGACTTCATATACATTAAAGGTGAGAAGTACTACACTAGATAGCCTTTTAAAGTAACAATTTGTTGATCTGTGTGATTTAAAGAAATTCTTGTAATAATTTTTTATAGTTCCTAAAAATATTGGGTCACATAATTTGGTCCAAACTCACTCCAAATTATTGTAGCTGTATTAGATTGCCACTGCACAGACAAGCACTTGTCAGTTTCTGTTTGCCTTGCAACCGAAGACATTAGTTATCCCAGCAGAAAGAAACTGTGGACTTTCAAGTCTCAAGTAGAAAGAAGGTCAAGAATAACCAAGTCTTTAAGGAACTAGTTCCACATACTTTCATAAAGTTTATTATTCAAGATTAAGTGCTTTTTAGGTTAATGCCTTTTGACTTTAGAAAACTGTATACTTTTATTACCAGAGACACAATATAGATAATTTTTTTATTTTTTTGGAGACCAAGTCTTGCTCTTGTTCCCCAGGCTGGAGTGCAATGGCGCCATCTTGGCTCACTGCAACCTCAGCCTCCCGGGTCCAAGCAATTCTCCTGCCTGGGCCACCCAGCAGCTGGGATTACAGGCGCCTGCCACCATGCGCAGCTAATGTTTCCATTTTTTTAGTTGAGATGGGGTTTCACCATGTTGGCCAGGCTAGTCTGGAACTCCTGACCTCAGGTGATCCACCCACCTCCGCCTCCCAGAGTGCTAGGATTACAGGCATAAGCCACCATGCCGGCCGATAAATTCTTATTTTATGAAACTTTTCATTATGCATCACTAAGATCCTGGAGGGTGAGAGGTCGTGGGGAATATAATGTCTTTAAAAAAATGTTTCTAAATTGTGTTTTCCTAGTAAGCCTTTCTTGGTAGTATTTCAGGGAAATAATGAGTGCCCATAGATGATTATAATGTAGAAAGACCAACCACGTGATGTGCCAGAGCACTGGCTCTTAAGCTTAAATGTTGTAGGAATCACTTGCTGGATGTAGATTCTGCTTCAGTAGGTCTAGGGTAGGGCCCAAAACCTTGCATTTCTAACAAACTCCCAGATGTTGGGAAGATTCTGGTTCATGGATCATACTCAGTAGCAAGGAGTTAGAGTGACTACTCTGCCAGGACACCTTTTTGTAAAGTCCCATTTCAGTGACTCAAAAAATCAAGAGGTCTGGTATAAATAGGAAGAAGGGTGATGTTGTTGAAAGTGCTGATTTACTAATTTAAATCATTTGGGAAGAGAAAGTCAAAGGTCAAAATTATTCACAGACCTATCATTAATGGAAAGTTAATTGAGAAATGAAGAGTCATTTAAGGCAACTGCAAAATAGTAACACAAATACCTCAGATGACTAGTAGGGCAAAATTTTCAAAATGTTGCAAGCTGTCTGCATGCTTGAAGTAGCAATTTACATGCATAATTAGGTGCAATCAACAGTTTTGAAATGTAATATATTTTCCGAGTCCATATTTACTTGTGACAGATGCTTAAAAAAACTACGTCCCCCAAAAATAGAGGGGCAGAAGGAGAAATATTTGCATTTAACAATGAGAGTCTTTAAAAGGACATGTCTAAATTTAGAACAAATTTAATTGAAGTATTGTATCTTTATTTTGATGTAATCTTCATTTAAGCCTTGAAAGAAGTTCACAAACATATTTTGGAAGTAGCAAGCATGGAAGAATAATAACTTACCAGTCAGCTATTCCTGCTGCTGTCTGAACTGACATATGATTTTTATTGCTACACTGTAGGAAAAAAAAAATCTGACACATTCAAACCTTTATTGCACAAAATATTATTGACTTTCTTCCTGTCTTCAGAAGCGGTTTCAGTCTCTAAAGAGACCAAATATCTTTTAGGAAATTTAAATAAAGGTAATTTAAATTGGTAGCTTCTTTTTTGTAAATCAAGGTCTTCAGATGAACACTCAGTGTGAACTTGTATCATCTTACTGTTCTCAGTATAACAATGTTAGGTGCTCACTATGCACTAAGACCCTCTGCTAAGCACATTACACATATAATCTAATTTACCATTATAAACTTTCTCTAATGATTGTTGGTTTATTACCAGGTACTGGGGAGGAGCCCACTCTATTTTCAACAATTCCCAATTGAGAAAATGAACTTGAAATCTGATTTTTAGAAAATGTGAAGAAAAAGAGAATGGGTAATTTGGTCCCTAAACTTTTTCTTCTTTTTCAAAAGCTTGTTCACATTGCATTACCCAGATTGGTTGTCTACACTGATGAAAGTGGAACAATTAATTTCTGTCACACATGCAGAGTCAGATTAAAAGATAGCAATGAGGAATACAACCTAATGATGTGTTCTTGTGTAACTGCATCTATGGGGCAGTGTGTCTTGATATGTAAAAGTTGTGTTTAAGTTAATGCAAAGCATTCATGGGATGAGCAATGCAATTTTCCAGTTTCATCAAGCAAGTGTGATCTGTGATATATGTTAGGGGAAAAAAAAGCCGTCCTCTGCTAAGAAACGCATGAATAGTTCATTAATCTGCTGATCCATTTGGGAGCATTATGGAACTCAAAGCCCAGAACAATGGGCTCTATTTAATATTGAACAGGTTCTTGATAACCCGCCATTTCTCTCCAGAGTCGCCTGAAGGTCCCTCCTGGACGTGCAGAGTTGCAGTGGCAGTTCCCGTGAAGTTGTAAGCTACTACCCAGGATCAAGTGGTGTTAAATTGAGAAGTCATCCTGATCACCTGACTAGTGGTGAACCCCGATTTAAGAATTTCCAAGCCTACCCTCGCCATCTCGAAATGTACAGACGCACCGCACTCCCTGCCCTGGGGTCACCACCGAAGCCTCCTGGTGGAGCCCTGCCCTGCTGAGGACGCTCTTCCAGCACAGAACTCACCACCAAAAAGAGACGGCGCCCAGCTGGCGCCCGCCCCGGGCACATTGCAGTAAATGCCTGGCAGCGACTTCTCGCTTCTCCTTCCTCCTACCCCATCGACCCTCTGCTGCCGACCTTTACGCCAAACTCCGGCGCGCCGCGAGACTCGCGTCCTCCCTGTCCCCGAGGGGCCCCACCCCTTCCCGGTTCTAACCTGCGACCTGGCCAGAGGCAAGGGTAGGTCGACTTCCTGCCCGGAATTTGCCGTTGGCTTTTCCTTCTCTACTCCAGTTCTCTAGTGCAGGGCTGTGCGGCGCGGAGCCGCCAGCGGCAGAACAGACCCCGGAGCGGAGCTCTGGGATACACACACGCGCAGCCCGGAGGGACTGACCCCGGAGGCGCGCTCGGCCGGGGGAGGGAGGGGACCAGGGCCAGAGCGGAGGCGAGGGTCACCTGGGGTTGGGGGTGGGCGCACCAGCTCTCCGCACGCTCCTCTCTTTCTAGTCCTCGCCGCCACCACCTCGCACAGGTCGGAGATCCCTCCTTTCCTTGGCTCCTTTGCGTTGGGGAGGGGATAAGGCTGAGGGGTCGGCGCTTGGTCAGCGGGCGGGGACGGTAGATTTCACTTGCACCTGACAGTCCCTATTCTTGCCAGTTTCGCCGGGCAAATCCTGGCGACCAGGTTTGTTCTTCCAGCAACTTTGTTCAGAAGGTTGGTAGGGAGGGGAAACGCCGAGGGGCCCCAAGAGACGCCGGAAAGCGGCTCGGAGCGTGGGCCGGGCTGGAGAGCAAGTCCCCAAGCGGCCCTGAGGCTGGGAGCGCGGCCGGGAGGCGCCGCCGCCGCCGCCGGGATGCGCTCTGCTTAGCGGGACTGCCGGGGGCGCCTGAAGGCCAGCGCTCCAAGGACACGCGGCCACCCGCTCCTCGCGCTCCCCGGCCCAGACGCCGCCAGGGCCGGAGCCGAGCAGGCGAGCTGAGCTGCGGGGAGCGCGGGTGAAGGGTGGCAGGAGGGAGGGCGCGCGGGAGGCGGCCCCTCCTCGGCGAGCCATGCGTGCCACGGGCAGCTGAGGAGCTGCCGGTCGCCGCTGCCAAGTCTCCACTCCGCTTTTGTCTTGCCCTCCAGTGAATGGGAAGATGGAGATGGATGTTGAGGGAGTTTCTCCGCGCCCGGAGCCCATCCCCCGCTCCCAGGGGGCTGGCGGAGCCTGCCAGGCGCCGCCACAGCCGCCCCAGCCCCAGCCGCCGCCGCAGCAGCTGGCTCAGGATGAACTGCCCGGCGAGAGTGCAGGCGCTGAGGACAGCGACGATCCCGAGACGAGACCCAACGGCGAGAAAGGAGAGAGCAAGGTAGGTCCACAGTGTTGGCGCTGTGCTACCTTTTGAACAAAACCAAGGAGTTGCTGTCGTGGCTGTCACTTTAACCCCTCCGCTCCCCAACCCCCTTCCCTCGTTTGTGTGGGGGTGGGGGTGGCAGATGTGAAGAAGGCTTAAGATTTAAGAGAATCCGTGGGCGATAGTGACTTTCCGAACTGGAGGGTATGTGTAGAAGTCTGTCCTGGTTTCAGTGTTCAGCGGTGTGTGCAGAGAAAAGTCTTCTGGTACACGCGGTGTGATGCTCTGGGCGAGCACAGCACCTCAGTAAAGCAGTGATGAGACCTTTGCTTGCCCTCGCAGTTTAACTGAGGCTTATTTGGATGATATAGGTCTAGGAGAAACAGTTCTTTAGGAGCTGCCAAGTGGCTTCTGAGACTCCTTGGAGGGTGGTGACATCAACCTAAAGAAAACAATGGGAGCAAAGTTTGGCTCATTTGCAGAATGGAGTGCCCTGCTTAACCCTGCTCTAAGCTGGAGGTCCTCCTCTTGACCTGGCATCCTCCTTCTAGGAGGGTAGAGATCAAGTGCCTGGCAGCAGATGAGACCTACAAATCTTTTGCAGCCCTGCTGTGTCATTGTAGACCAGGGGATAGCTGCTACTTGCTGTGGAAAGAGGAGTTCTTCAGGTAATTGGATTCTAGTAAGAAATGGCTTGAATGTTATTTTCTGGTGCTGATGTCTCTTCCGCTGAGAAAATTGTAAAGTAGAGGAAATGGCATAGAAAATACTGCCTTGGTAGTATTAGTAGGGTGTGTTTATTACAGCTTTGTCTCTGAGCAGTCTTCCTTCACACACTGGGAGTTTAGTTTTGTGGAAGCTAATGTTGCTTTGTTTTATCTGTATAAAGTGTACACTGTATATTTGTTAATATATTTTGAAACTGGCTGGTAATATTGGGGAAAAGTTGGTTCAACAAATCAGACTATTGGAACCAAATGAGCCAGTCAATCTACTTTCTCACTTCTGCTCACTTAAGGAAGTGTGCAGGAAAATGGGCACTTCTGCTAGTTAGAAAGGAATTGTGTGTCATGAAGTGCCCCTTAATGGAGATTGCCTTGGTTTCTGTTAGAGCTTTCCTAAGATACTAGTGGATTAAATAAATACTGGAAACATGTCGGGATCACATTGAATTGCTGTTCTGTGTTTGGAGACAGGCTCATTTAACAAGTTCAGATTTGCAAATGTTCAGAATTGTTTTGCATTTTGAAACTGAGCTAAGAATCAAAATTGTTGTTTATCTTCCAAAATCAATATTGTTATTTAAATGGAAGTTTACCAAGGAACTAGAATTTGAACACACTCTAGATGCGACCGGGGTGCCTTACAAATGCATACAAGATTTACATTGTGAAAACTATGATGAATTTTAATATTCTGATATCCTCAGCTTTCCAGTCGCTCTTGATTTCATGAATATTTAATTCTGTCATGACTGCATATTTACTACTTTAAATGACTGTCTGCGCTCAGTTTTATGAAATAACCATAACTGAGCATCAATTACCTAATTGAACTTTAAGTCTCTTTTGCAAAATAGGTGTGGAGAATAATTAAAATATACAGCCAGTACTGCCATTTCCATATTGTTGATTCATATGCCCTGAGCATGAGAAATTCCTGCCATCAGCAAAAATCTGTGCTTATTTGTTTCCCTTTGATGCACCATGCAGACTCTCTAACGTTCTACCAGTTGTGAGGAATAAGGAAGGCAATGCACTAGAAATATTACAGCAGGTTAAAAGAGGACTGAAAGCGGGTTGATTACATTTAGTTAATTAGCATGTTCAGATAATTGAGTATTCTGATGATGTGATTTGCTTCGTGTTTGTCTGCGGTTTCTTGAGGTGGAAACAAAATATTACTTTTTTTCTCTCCAGGTGTTTGTCTTAAAAAATTATGTTGCATCCTTCTCTTAACCTAGATATCAGCTGTGTTAACCCTTTGCTTGCCTCTGATACTGTCCTACTGGTTCTTTTGAGTCTGAGGATGGTTGCTGTGTTTCAGACTTTAATAACTGTTCTTGTCTTTGATGGATACTAAGGCAAGTTATAAATTGATTTTTCTTAGAAAATTCATATTTCATTAGTAGGAAGTCCTTTGGATGTCTGACCAAATTATTCTATTAAAATATAAATAGAAGACAAACTGGTATAAAGTGAAATTGGGTTGTATCAAGCTGTTTGGGGTGAGGTGGAGGAGTTTATCACAGTATGGTTTTCAAACAGTAATATACAAACATAATGTACCAGATGATTATGTTTTCTTTTCATTAATGAGAGCAATAAAATACAAATTTCAAAAACTGAATTATTGACTTTAACTTTACCTTAAGGGTATTATAAATAGGATGTGAGTGGATATACCCCTTGAAAATAAAGTATCAGGGGCTAATGGCAATTTTTTTTTTTAAGACTCTGGTTTAGGGCCATGATTTATTCTCATATGAATTTGTCTCAGTTGTCTTATTGGAAAAGAAATCAGAGCTTAGCGCCAGATCAGCTTGTCTCCTAAATTTCAGGTTCGTGGTCATATGTCCTCAGAAAGTCTATGAAATAGGAAGAGAGGTTAGAAAACTGGATCAGTCAAGGGATTTTTTACGCCTGAGTTTCATGATGTGACTGGTGCTTTCTGTCCTAGAATAATGTTTCCTGATTCCTCTCTAGCAAATACTCTTCAAAGAAATATTAAAGCAGCTGCATATTATATTGCTTTGATTCCATGGATTGGGGAGGAAACAGACCTGAAATAGACCATCTATTCTTCCTCTGTGCTTTAAGGCAGGTTTATATTAAACCCTTACAAAAAGCAGCCTCTTCTCTTTGCAATGACATCCAAAGATAATATTGTAATCACCTTTGGTGACCTAGTGAGATATTTCCTTCTGGTCTTAGCAAAGAAGATTAAATGATCATGGTCCTTAAGTAAGAGACCTTCAAATTCTTGAAAGTGCTCTTGATTCTGGGTTTGATCATCCTCAGAACTTTCTTAGAAAGTTTTTTGCAGGCTCTAAATATTTCATCCTTTCATTGCTTTTTAAAATTCTTCTGAAATGCTTTGGTTATACCAAATGACTCTTGGATGGGTGTTTCTGAAACTTTCTTTGGAAAAGTTAAAGAAAAGTTTCTTGTGTAGAGGACCTGCACTCCAGTGTCTTATTCCCTCTGTATTATGAAGTTACTTATGCAAATGTGGAAATTCTTCCCCTGATCTGATCCTAGATGCTAAATAAAAATGATTATTAGCTTCCTTCAGGTTCATCTCATTCATGAATATATGAATGGTGCTTTCTGTCCTCCCTTTTACTTCCTTCCTCACACCCTACACCAGCTTCACCTCCCCTCTGCCAATACTATTTACTACAGTGTTTTATATAGAAGATATGTTTATGGCTCAGATGTAAAGCATTGTGATCAAACTCTCTTTTTTGCTCAGCTCTGATTAAATCCTTGGTTTGCAAGATGTGTTATTCCCATGGCTTTGGATTAGAGGAACTCTGTACTGTTGCTACCAATGATACGTCATTGATGAAAATGACTCAATTCTCACTTCAACTGTATTCCATCAGTATCGCTGTTCTAACAGTCATTCTTTAGGAGCATACTGTAGGGACTCTTATCAAGAATGTCATTACATTTTTGAAAGCCTTTTATTTTGGAAATAAATTTACATTTATAGAAGAGATGCAAAGATATATCCTTTGCCCAGTCTCCTCTAATATTAACATCCTACATAATCAAGGTATGTATATTACAATAGAGAGATGAACATTTGTACGAAACTACTAGTTAACTTGTCTAGTAAAACTTTTTTTGAGTGAATATATAACATATAGTTGCTTTCCATTCTATTCTTTCAGTCTTTAAGGTGGTCTTTATACCTGAAAGGCTCTGTGAGAGGGTATTTAAGAGTCAAATTTAAGTTCTGTGTGACTATCTCTCCCTTTTATCTGTTGAGTAGGAGCAGCTTGCAAAGTACAAATTTGGAGGTCCCTGAAGTTCTGCATCAACTGCAGTGAGCCCTGGGGGAGTTACAGCTTTGGCAAAGCTCTTCAGTGCTGTTAACTTGTGAGGAATAATGGTCTTCCTTTTTTGTTTTAACGTGAAAAACATTCCTGCTCCAGGTAAGACAGGGTTTGTCAGTACACAGAGGACAGCAAAGTCTCAAGTGGCAGGCAGAGGATAAAAGGAAATGGATAAATTCAAGGTAGTTCACTTTGATGCCTAACCCCTTGGGTGATCGTTTCTGGCATGAAATCTAATGGAAGCCTTTTTGGTTTTACATTGTATATTAGCCAGGTGAACTCTGACTTCTGGTACAGAAGCAGAAATGTTTCCACAATAGGTAGGACGTCAATGTGATTAAAACTGTTGACTGTGAAATAAAAAAGACCCCAGTTTGATCCTGGTTTTGTCTTTTATTAGCTCTTGACCTTAGACAAGGTCTTAACCTTTCCAAAGCTTAACCTTTTTATCTGTCAAATAGGAATAATTATAGTGCTAACCATCTATGGTTATTATATGGCTCAAATGAGATAAAATGTATAGAGTTTTTGATTCAGTGCTTCACAGGTAATGACTGCTCAATAATAGTGAATAAATTGTATGAGTTGGGGCTTCAAGTCTCCCTCAATTTTTCAGTTTACCAGAGGGTTCTGGGACTGGAAATGACACAGACATACTTTTCTACAGTCAAACCAAGTTGGTGCTCATCCACCTGGTTTTGCCCTGTGATCCTTAAGATGTTCTCAGGTCCTGGTGGGCAGAAGGTTAGAAAATAGTTATCCTGACTTGTCAATAGTCTGCTCTTTTCTCATCAGGAAAGCCAAGGAAGAGCTGGATGAAAAGTCCCTATATCCTACCCCAG